ATTTGGTGTTATTTTCTGTCTAATAAAAATGCAGATTAAAAAAAAAATACTAAACTGAGGGATCTGCCATTGATGATTGATTGGGGAGCCAGCTAGCCAGGGAAGGGAGGGATAAATTTTAGCAAGCAAGGCAAGTAATTACTAATTAGTGAATGAATGATGAAATTGCACCAATTGTCTACTATTTTTTAGATAAATTGATATATTATTAAAGTTAGTATTTAGAGATTATGAATTTAAAAAAATTTAAAGCATAATATCTTATTTAATCATATATATATATATATAATAAAATAAAAATTTTAAGAATAAATTAAATTTTTTTTTTTAAATTGTACCAACCAATTTTTAGGTTAAATGGTTCACAACGAGACAAACAAAGTTTTAAAATATCATGATGATATCATTTTATTAATGAATAAATATTAATTTTAAAAATAAATATATAAAAATTAATATTTTTAAAAAAATTATTTATTAATGAGATGAAATCATCTGATTTATTTTATTAATAAAATTATATCATTTAATTGATTAATAATATATAAAATTTATACATTAATAATATATCAAATATAATCTTATTTTTTTTGTGCTTTAATTGAGTTTGAAGAATTATTGGTATTTTAAAGAAAAATATCTTTCTAATTTATTAGTTTGCGATAATTTGATTTGAAAGATTCATATATTTAATAATTTTACACATTATTTACTTCAAAAAAATCTCAATCCAATGTACCAAATCATGGATACCTAAAAGTTTTTTCTTAAAAAAATTTAATACCATTGTACTAGAAATACAAGGCACCCTTATGCAACTATCCTTGACAAGTAAGATCCATGAAAATTTTTGAGTTTAAACTTTATAAAAAAAAAAATACAAAGCAGTTGTAGTAAAATTTGTCCCTGAAAAATTAGAACTTAAGACTATTGGGTCATTAAAAAAGCCCATTCGATCGTATATGAATGACGAAACCCAACCCTATTAAAATCCGAAAGAAGGTTCCAAAGAGACGTAGCAGTCTTGCAGGGTACACTAAGTTCTATGAGCGAAATTTGTAAATGATTTAATAAAAATTTTAAATTAATAAATTAATATAAAAATTAAAATATATATAATGTATTAAAAATATTATTTATAATTTAAATTTAATTAATATTTATTTAAAAATAAAAATTTTATTAATATTTTTATTAAAAATATTTATTTAAAAATATATATCAAATTTTATTAAAAATATTTTTTAAAATTTACACATCTAATATACATATATATATATATATATTATATTATAACATACAAAGTTACATGATTAAAATTGATTATGTGGATGCTCAACTGGATAATCTCTTTTAATGATACATAAATATTATCTTATTTATCAAATAAAATTTTTTAATAAATTATTTAAATTAAATATTTTAGATAATTATTAAAATTGAAATCAATATCTATCTAAGATTTGAATTTTTGCATAAAATTTGAATTCAAATATATTAAATCATAATTTATTTTTTCTTTTTAAATTTAATGGAATTTCAAATATATACTTAATAAAATTTTATTTTCTATCAAATAATTCTATTTAATAAATTATTTAAATTTAATATTTTTAGATAATTATTTAAATTCAAAACAAAATTTATCAAAAATTAAAAATTATTTAATAGATTATTTAAATTTAATACTTTTAGATAAATTAATGAATTATTAACTAAAAAAGTGTATTTTTTTAAATAATAAAAGCTTACATATTTATATGAAAATATGAGACATTTGAATGTTGATAACAAAATTAAATAAAAATATGTTTTTGCTTTGAAAACAAATATAATGTTTTATTTATATTCTAATTCAAATATTTTTATATTATATATTTGCTTAATTTATTTGTTTTTCTTTAGTCCATAACTTTTTTTTATTTTACTTATATTGATTATAATTAATTTTTTGTATTATATATATATTTTGTTTTATTTATTTCTTTAATGTTTTTATTCTCTGTTAATCTATTAACTTATTTACTTTTATTATTATATATATTTAATATTGATAAATTAATATGTAAATTTATATTATCTATTTTTTTTACTATACTTTTTATTATTGAATTTCTTTATTTACAATTGATGATATAAGAAGAACGATGATCACTATTATATCTAAATTATAAAAATACTATTAATTATGTTAAAAATGATTAAAAATAAAAATTATTTCAAAAAAAGTTTTTAAGCATAACATAAAAAATTATTGTTTTCATTTTATCTAAAAAATAACTTTATTTTGTTGACATATATAGAAATAATTGTTAGTGTAATATATTTGTGTAATAATTATTCAAAGTATGTAAAAAATAAGAACTAATAAAAAGTAAATGATTATAACAAATTAATAATTGTGATTTATTATCCAATCAAATATATATATATATATTTAGATATACACCACCTAATCAACATTATGATAAAAATAATTATTAATTTTAACTATTTAAATATTAATTCTTAATTTTTTATCAAACAAAAAAAAACGATAGCAAAATTTTTAATATTTAGCAAATAAATTGAAGAAAATATTTTTTAATGAAAAAATGGATTTTCATAATTCTTAAAAATTTACAAAAGATTAGATTTATTTTAGATGAATAATATCATTTATAATATATTATATATAATTTATCATTTAATTATAACTTAACATTTATAAATATATGATTATATATTAAATAATTAATTAAAAATAAACTTAAAATCATAAAAAATTTAATAAAAATCCCGTACATTATGGGTTAAAAAAGCTAGTTTAATTTATATAACAAAATTTTTTAATATATTAATTTTAATTTTAATTTTTAATTTAATTATTTTTAATAAAAAAATTCATAAACTTTATCCAAAAAAAACTTCGTCCAATAATTTTTCTTTTACCGGGTGTGTACTGAGTATTTGGTCATCTCCGATTCACCGTAGCCAAGCTCAACGCTCTCGGGCGCAAACCTCCATTCCCAAGAAGACCAAATTCCTCTTTCCCCGACAAAAAGGCATATTATGGATTCTCAGAAATTGTCAGCTTTATACTCTTCCCTTGTCTCTCAAGTCTCAAACTCCTCCTATTGCTTCTCCTTCTCTTTAATTCCAATCGTTTCCGATGGGAATCTCTTTTCCGTCCTCAACTATTTGCTTTCATCACAAGAAATCGCCACACTCTTTCCTTCATTTCTGTTTCCAAGAAACGGAAGAGAACCCATTGTCCAGAATCTGATTCTGAATCTATTTGTGAAGGCGGGGACCCCGAACTCGGACCCGACTCGGCGATGAACGAGTCAGATTAGGCTTGGCTGGAAATTCTGACTCGTTCAAAGCCCTCTTTAGAATGAAATCTTCCACCTTTCAGTGGCTCGCTGGGTTGCTCGAGCCGCTGCTAAAGTGTCGTGACCCGGTTGGTTCACCGTTGAATCTATCGGCTAAGTTGCGGTTCGCTATTGGTTTATTCAAGTTAGCCGCCGTTTCAAGTTACCCTGAAATCGCTCAAAGATTTGGGGTTTCCGAGTCTGAGACTCGTTCCTGTGCTAAACATTTGTGCCACGTTCTTTGCACCAATTTTCGATTTTGGGTTGCATTTCCCAGTCCAGATGAGAAAAAGTCTGTATCTTTATCTGTTAAACAATTTACGGGGTTGCCAACAAATTGATTCGGTGTTATTGATTGCACTAGCTTCATTATTGTAAATGAAAACAATGGAAGCCTTGATTGCAAAGTTGCTTAGTGGTGGATTCAACATCAAGAATTTTGAGCATTGTTGCTGGTTTGAAAGGAGATAGGGATCATTCCAGAGTCCTTAAATCTTCAACTCTGATTAAAGATATTGAGGAAGGTAGGTTACTGAATTCAAGTACTGTACTTCTTAATGGAGTGGCTATAAGTTAATATTTGGTTGGTGATCGAGGGTACCCTTTGCTTCCATGGTTAATGGTACCTTTGTTAATAAGGTTCCAGGGTCAAGTGAAAGGAGGTTCAAGACTGTAGTATTTCCATTAATTAATATGAATTTATAGTAACCGGAAAGACTTCTCCAAATAATTCTAATAACTTAGTCTGGAAATAAAAGAATAACCAAAAACCTTCCAGGACTTCCACTTTGTTCTTCGTATGCTTTAAATATTTATTTTTTTTAGATTCAACTACAAATGTATTTGTATTATATAAAATATTAAAATTTATATATTTATATTATATTTTATATAAAAATTATATATCATAATTTATATTAATATAAAAACAAAAAATATAATTTTTTATTATTAAATTTATATATAATTATTATTATAATTTTAAATCATATTATTTTTATATGTTATATTTATATCATTTTCATATTATATTAACATTTCATATTTTAAATTTCTTTTGAGAATCCTCCACGTTCAGACGAATGAAAATGCTTCTTACTTATAGATTAAAAGTTGGTGAAATTGTATATATATAGACTGTAGTCGCCCTCATCTTTTGACCTAATTTTTTGAACGAAAATATATAGAGAAACCAAAGTTGACTGTTTCTCTCATGCCTGCTGCATTCGATGCGTGTGCACATAGGAGAAATCGATTAATTAAATCGAACAAATTAAATATATCAATCAACGCATAAAAAATATATATATAATATAAAATTAAATCAAATTTAATTATATTTAATAGGATTTGAACATAAAATTACAAAATTTTAAAATCTACTCTTTAACATTAAAATAAGATGATGATATATACCTTATTCTTAATTATAATTAATTAATCACCAATTTGACTTAAAATCTAACAAGCATTTATATGTTGCCAACCGTTAAATGTATCATAAATATTGGAATAATGATCTGTAAAAATATCTCTTTGCTCCAATAAGACAATAGGCTCAAAATTATTTACAAGTTGGGTAAGATTGTAAAGCTTTAAGAAACAAAAGTGATGGATTGACCTCGTTACCAAGTCATGACTCATTGGCCTACTTTCAACAAATGCCACATTGGTGTAAGAATGGGTCCCAATTCATCTGCAATTTTGGAACTTCACCAACCCCCCACCGGGTTGGCAGGCGGACCAACCACCCAAAATCTCGGTCCAACCGGGATATTTAACTTCTATATAAGCCCATTGCATTTCCTCTTTCAGCTCAGGTTACCATTCGAAGGCAATCGGAAACTCTCTGGTCCAGGAAAACAGGAAAAGCAAAGAAAGAACCCTTTTAAAGATTTGTAGCAATGGCAACCAATACACAAGAGCAGCAGTCTCAGGCTGGCAGGCACCAGGAGGTTGGTCACAAGAGCCTTTTGCAGAGTGATGCTCTTTACCAGGTATCATCATTGATTGATTATGTCGTATCTTTCATTTTTAATCATTTTTTTTACGTTAGTTTTTTAGTTTATTAATGGGATTTTGGTTTTTGCAGTATATCCTTGAGACTAGTGTATATCCGAAGGAGCCTGAACCCATGAAAGAGCTCAGAGAGTTGACTGCCAAGCATCCATGGTTCGTTCTTGATTCAGATTCTTAAAGCGTCACTACTATATGGACCTCCTTTGAGTTTTTTTTTTTTTTCTTTCTTTCTTTATTTGGTTTGGGAATTAAACTGTTGTTGATTTTATTGGAATGATTGGAAACAGGAATCTTATGACTACATCAGCTGATGAAGGCCAATTCTTGAACATGCTTCTTAAGCTGATCAATGCCAAGAACACCATGGAAATTGGTGTCTACACTGGCTACTCTCTTTTAGCCACAGCACTTGCTCTCCCTAATGATGGAAAGGTAATTAATTGTTTAACAGACAAAAAGAAGGAAGTCATCTTTAAATGACATGGGAAAATAAAGTCGTGTATTTTTATGTTTCCAGATCTTGGCCATGGATATTAACAGGGAAAACTATGAGTTGGGTCTGCCTGTTATCCAAAAGGCTGGTGTTGCACACAAAATTGATTTCAGAGAGGGTCCTGCTATGCCAGTTCTTGATCAATTAGTCGAAGATGTAAATTTCACCAACCCCATCCATGTTTTTCTTTTAAAAGCTTTATTTTTTCCTCAGAATTTGTCAATAACTGAGAGTTATTTTCTATATGGAAAAATTCGCAGGAAAAGAATCATGGATCCTTTGACTTCATCTTTGTGGACGCTGATAAGGACAACTACCAAAACTACCACAAGAGGCTAATTGAGCTGGTGAAAGTAGGTGGGTTGATCGGCTATGACAACACCCTATGGAATGGCTCGGTGGTAGCACCACCTGACACTCCTCTCAGGAAATATGTTAGGTATTACAGAGACTTTGTTTTGGAACTCAACAAGGCTCTTGCCATTGACCCCAGGATTGAGATTTGCATGCTTCCAGTTGGTGACGGAATCACCCTTTGCCGTCGGCTCAAATGAACCGCCACCACCACCCAACGTTGACCACCTCTCATTCGGCACAAAATTTGACATTAACATCTTAATGATCTTATGTATTGCCAATTTTCAACTCCCCCACTCCCTTTTTCTTTGTTTATCGTAATGCACCGGTGGATGATTGAAGAATCCCATATTAAAATGGTATTATAAAATGGTATTTTTAAACATGCTTATCTACCGTTATCAAATCGTAATTATTTTCTCAAGCTAACATGCAAGTTCAAATATTTTCAACCAATGATGAAACAATTGTACTTTTGCAATTTGATATTATCTGTACTTTAGGATTATGTGGTCTACAATGCTTTTCCCTGAAAATAATATAGAAGCTCTTTTATTTATTCAAGATTTGAACTCTCGTTATTAAAATTGAAATTTCAATATTCTATAAATAATTTATATTATCGTTGGCAAGCTTTTTTCTTTTTACGTTTGGATTCTAAGAAAGTTATGATTTAAGAAGCTATGTGTAGGTTTCAGTCGAAAATTTGATGTCAGCATAGAAAACAAACATAAAGAGTAAAATATATGTTAAAATCCCCAATTTTAGGAAAGACCCAAATTGTCAATTTATGAATGGGTGCTGAATCAATATATAAATAATGATTCTTACTTGTCCTGAAATCATGCAATAAGTACTAGTTTAAATGACTACATGACAGCATATAAACTTTCTTAATTAATCTCTAAATTGCTCAAATAACCATCACATTTCGTTCTTCTTTTGTTCAAATTGGATTGAACCATTTTTAAAGATTAAAATAAAAGAAAAGAAATCTTCTTAGTTCAACATACTTTATTCCATAGTGGTTCTTTAACTTCGGCTTCGTGTGTGGCTTTGTTCTATTCAGTTCTATTGCCCAATTACGTGGCTTCCACCCACCGAGAAACCCACCAAACCTCATTCCGGGTCAATTGGCTCTAGTTGCGAACGTTCTTTTCCATTTTTTCCCTTTTTTTTTTCTTTCTCTTTTGATAGCAGTCAATGATTGCACTGTTATCTGACTTTTTTTTTTTTTTGCTTTAAGAAGAACAGGACAAATAGGGTAAAAGCCACGTATATCCTTCAAATTTAGAAAAAGACGACTTGGAATTCAAACCTAAACTTGATGCCTACCCCTAAAAAAAGGGCTAATTGTGTTTGTTTTAAAAAAAAAATCATAACCCAATAATAAAAAAATGAATTACAAGTATAAAAATATCAACTGAATTAAATATCAAATTGAAGGTTGCTACATTTGTTGTAGAGACACATGGTCTAACGGAAGACAATTAAATAAATCAATTGAAGGTTGCTACATGTGTTGTTGAGAAATATGGTCTAATGAAAGAGTGATGCATATTCATTTCCATAACAAAAACGTTTCAAGTATTAATTAAGCATTTGATGAGAAATAGGAGAATTTATAAGTCAAAGAAATTATTCAAGATTAGCTATAGATTAGCTAGCAGAATGTATCCGTATCAATGTAAAAGTAGAAAATTCTTACTAAGGATCTGCTCGATAGAACTCTAATCACACCAAATATTCCAATTCAACATTCTTTCCTGACACTTTACCATCACTGTTATCACATGAGAATGTTTCTATTATTGAAATTAAAATTTGATTGTTACTTATAATATGAAGCACCATTCATTCAATAAAAAAACACTGCCAATGAGAAACCCAAGGAACATCTAAACCTAAATACTTAACTAATCAAGAACAATAGTCAGAAACTATACATATTTAGCAACATGAGATTGATCTTAGAAATTGAAATTTTCCTTTCATGTACTAAATATTTGACAACTTGAAGCCATGCATCACAAGAGGAAACAAAATTGGGTCATTCCCAATAAGTAAATGAGATAATGTAGTCTAACCTTTGATTCCAAAAACTTTCCTTCACACAAAATGCAGTATAAGTCATTAACATCAATATATTAAGTTACAAGAAGTTAGTAATATTCTAATCAAACAAGGCATAAGAGTAATACCAGAAACAGGATGTCAGTCATACTAAATGGATAAATCTGAAACCACCATTGATTAAACAATATTAACATACCAAAATGTATCAACAAGCTATGACATATGATCTGAGAGCATCTAAAAGTTAACATTATACTAAAACAATAAACCATGATCGAAGCAAAGCTAAACTAAACTACTTCAAGAGAATTCTAAGTAATCATCCAAGAGACAAACGAAAAGCGAAAAGCAGAAGGAAAATATGAATAAAAACCACAATAACTTAGGCGAATATCTATAGATTAACGCAAACATTAAAGCAAAATTAACATTTAAAGTTCCGAAACTCAGTCATAGCTAATTTTAACCCACATAACAAAAATTAATTCAAAATGAACATAACCATATTATCTCTTGAAATGCAACAAAACCCAGTTTTTCCAAACAAACCATGAAATTTCTTCAACGGTAACTCTTCTGGAACCTTGCCCTAGCACCTCTTCCACCGAACTTCTTGGGCTCGCACCTCCTTGGATCGGCCACCAGCAAAGTCCTATCGTACCTGACCAAAATGTCCTTAATCTCCTTCTTGCTTTGCTCATCAACGTACTTCTGGTAAAAAGTGACCAGGGCTTTAGCGATGCTTTGACGGATAGCGTAGATCTGAGATGTGTGGCCTCCGCCTTTCACTCGGATCCTCATGTCAACACCAGCGAAACGTTGGCGACCGAGGAGGAGGATTGGCTCAACGGCCTTGAAACGGAGGATCTCGGGCTCAACAAGCTCGATGGGACAGCCGTTGATCTTGATCAAACCACGGCCTCTCTTGCAGTAGGTCACGGCCACCGCTGTCTTCTTGCGACCGAAACATTGTACGGATTCGATCGGTGCTCTTTCCGCCATGTTTCGCAAAAATAAGGCGTTCGCTCTTTGCCTAAAGTGAAAACCCTAGCGAAGGGAAAATGACGGAGTGTCAAGAGATTTATATATCGGGTGGGCTAGGGTTTTTGAAATGCTTAAACGATGCGTTTTTAAGTCCAATACCTTTTTTGGGCTATGCTTGAGCCAGGTTTAGAAACATTTTAAGGCCCAGTCCAATTTACGAGATTGGATACAAATATATGAATGTCATATCTAATGTGACTAGTGGGTTTAGGAGTTTTTTTTTTTTTTTAACATTTGGATTTATGGATAAATTTTCCTTATATTCTAAATTACTTCCATTTTTTCTCATAACGGAGTGTTTATTATTTAAGGCTATATGCTAATGAAAAAGGTTAAATATAATAGTAAATCGATAAATAAATTATTTTACTTTATAATCTTTTTTATTTATGTGATAATGATTTTCGTTTTAATCATATTTTAAGCTATCATTATATGTATTCCTATCACTTTGCATATATTATATATTTATGAGTTAATATTTGATATATTATTAGTATAAAATTTTTATTTTGCGAGTTAAGAGATTGATATATATTTTTTATTTTTTAAAAATATTTTAAAAGATATATATTACTCTACTAATCTTATTTTTTAAATTTAAAAACTCGAATGAAAGAAAAATATCACGTACTATTTGAAAATGTTCTCTTTAAAAGCTTAGAAGTTACAAGATTATACATATACAACATTATTAAATATATATTTAATGACTCTTTCCTCCTAACTTAACTTAATGATTAAAATGTCAGTTGAAAGTCATGTATGGCATATGTTGTACCCCACCATCTTCTCTCCTCTCTTGTAAGGGCACTAGCCCTCATTTGCAATATATATATATATATATATATATATATATATATATATATATTAGTTAATTAAATTCGTAGGGGAGAAGGGCTCTTAGTTTATCAACTAAGATTGATTATTGTAAGAAAACGAGGAAAAAAAATTTGAATGTATGTGATCGACGTGGGAGACTAAGCCTTTAAAATCCTCAAACAAGGGATTAGGCTCAATTAAAATCTAAAAACCTGATATTATCAATTTTTTTAAAAATTCTATTTCTTCTTGGCTTTTCGTAAATTTTAAGGTTTTTTTTTTCTGGCTGTTTTTATTTTTTTTTATAATATTGCATAATCAAGCTTTGATTATTCGCCCATGATTTGTAAGCTTTGATTAGATTTTTAGGTTAGTTTAGGGTTTGATTTTGGTTTTGGTTTTAGTTTAATTTCTATTTGATTTAATTTTTAGTAAAATGTATTTTTTGTTAAACATTTAATTTAAAATTAATTAATAATAAGTGAAAAGATTTAATTATAATATAAAATTATAAAAATTAAATATTTATTAGATGTAAAATAATATTATTTTAATAAACTTTTATCATATGTAGATAAAAATAAAAAAAATTTATTACATAACAAACTTAAAAAAAACAACAAAAAAATATTGATTTTAATATCATATTAAACTACATAAAATTAAATATTTATTAAATATAAAATAACACCATTTTAATATTCTTATCCATACGAAATATGTCGTTTTTATTTATTTTTTACTTCGTTCTTTGGCAAATTATCATTGTCGATGCCCACTAAAATCCCAAAAACTTTCTTATTTTCCTTCTTTCAAAGCGTCTTACATAATTTATGAATTATCCAGCAGCTGAGTTGGAAAAAGTAAAACCAACACCAATTTCGGCTTTTAATTTGTCGACTTCTTTTTAAAAAAAAAAAAAAATTTGTCAATTTCTTAATGACACCAAAGGACAAAATAATATAAAATCTAGAAACGACATTGGGACCCTCTCCCCCCCATTCTTGGCAGTGGTTGCCAAAATAGCTAACAAAGCTTGAAATGGTCACGTAACTCTATAAATCCCTGCGGCCTGAGCTAATTTCATAGCTCTTGCCAATTTGGACCGACGCTTTATTACAGATTATATACTATAGTTTCCATAGGTGGTCTTCTCGTTTCTCAATATATATTTTTAGATAAATTACATATAAATATTATATGGTTAAATAAATTTACATACTAATAATATTTAAAAAATAATATTTAATCCATTTGTGTTTTACTCCCTTAGTATATCTTTAACGTCGTTGATCTAACTTTTTTTTTTTTTTCATAACTTCACCCATTAGGCCACCAACCAAGCATTTATCACCATTTCCTCAAGCTTTCTCACCCTCTATCTTCAAATTTTATCCATCAATCCACCACTCATACTCATGACATTTTTTTATTAAATATCAGCATACCAAGCAAACATGAATAAAATCTTTTTTTCTCTTCCCTTTTTCTTCATTTTGCAAATTCAATAATGACCAACAACTCATCCATTGAATCTCATTTTTCATATTTTATCTTCTAATTATCTTATCCACCTTTCTCTTTCTTCGAATTTGAATACCCAAAATTCCTTTTTTTAATTGAGTCCAATGCATTAATAAATTTTCAATTAAAAAACAAAACTAAATTAAGAAAGATGAGTTTCAATTCTATTACCATCACCATTGAAATAAAAAAGCAATAGTGAATTGCTTAATTGTGTTGCTATCTCTATTTTCGTCAAACTCAATTATTTTGGGTTTCAATGAATTGGTCTTGAAATTTATAATATATGAGTTTCAAATTTTATTTTATTTTTCAATGGATTGCTGTGTTTTGAAATTTGTGAAATGTGAGTTTTGTTATTTTAAAACAATATGATATCATTAATTTGCACTTTGTTGCTATAAAAGTTGGAAACAATGAAGGAAAAGATGAAAAAAAAAATGAAAAACTTCATTTATCTGATTTTAGAAATAATGAATGAATTGATGATGATAAAGAAGGAAAAAAATGAAAAAAAATAACAAAACAAATCATAAAATAATTAAATATTAATTTTTAAATTTTATGAGTCATTTTCAATTGTCTTAAACCACAAAATATGTATATGTAATTTACCTTATATTTTTTATTTTAAAAGTAAATTCAACCGTTTGCCTTCTCATAATTGAAAAATATAATGTAGCGTGGCAATTTTATAATCTTGACATCGCTATTATCACATCCAACATTCATATGGTAAGATAATTTATTGATAAAATATTAGAAGATTTATATTACCAATAATTTTTAAATTATACTAAATGTTGATTAATAGGAAATTTAGATAATTGTTTATCTGTCAATAATATTTGAAGAGTTATTTATTTATTATATATTATTATTTTAAAATTAATTATGTTAAAAATAATAGAATATTAATTTATAAATTTATAATTAAAATAACATATTAAATATTTTATCATAATTCAAAAACTATTAATAACATTATCCCAATATTCAAATTTTAAGTTTGAATATTTTTAAATATAAAAAATCTAGTTATTACGTGTATTAAAAGAAAAAAAAAAATGGTCTAGCTGTGTTCAAGTTAGGGTCGTCAATCCAACTCATCATCGACGGGTTTCGATCCGATTTGATCTTATGAGATAGAGTTTTTTTTTTTTTTTGAAATTTAGATTTCAGATCTAATCGGATAAAATTAGGAAACAGTCAAGATCGGATCAGATTTGAATTTTAAGCAAACTCGATCCGACTCAATATTATATAAAAATTATTTTTAATTAATTATTTAATTTTTTATTTATATATTTATATAATGATATTTTTAAATATTTATATTTAAAAAATAATATTTTATTAATTTCAAATCAGATTAAATTAAATATAATTTATATAATATTAAATTAATGTGAATATAAAAAAATAAAAAAAATTTTAAATAGAATCAATTTCAAATTTAATAATATATAAAATTAGATCGGAGACTAACACAACTTACCTCGAATCCGATCCTATACCAACTCTAGTCCAAGTTGTGTTGTGCGGCTGCGAATCTATTATTGTTCATGACTCAAATGATGACTTTTCAACGCCCAACCTTCCACGTTACTGGATGGGTCAATTTTATCATAATAGGTATGCCAAAAAGCACGCCAATGACTGATGTTTGCTGTTTGGCCAAAGCCAAACGTCAATAAAGCCAATGGCCTCGTCAAGTCGTCATCTTCACCCTTGTATGTACTCGGAGTCACAGAACCGGACAGTACTCCCCCACCCCCAAAAGGCAAAATAATAAATTCCTACTGCGACTATTCTTAGTACAACGAATAATAAAATCATCGAAACTGAAGTTACTGTTGACCCAGCAATTAATATCATTTAATACGGCAAATAAAAATCAATAAAAAAATAGAAACATTAATTTTTTTACGGGCGTCGAGAAATACTATTTAAGAAAATTTAAAATATATTAATTACATATTTTTAAGTATTAATTTAATTAAAAACATTTAAGAAACTATTAAAATCAAATATTAAATTAAATGAAAATAATATCTAATGCCATTAAGGCTTAGTTTGGATTCAATCACATCCCCGATGGAGGTGCGATTGCAATCAAAATTTGTGCCTATTGGTCGTTGGGGACCCAAACGCATTTGTAGTGCAATGAGATCAGTGGCGATTGCTAAGGTTTTATTTGGATTTTATCGTTTTTTTTATATGATATGATTAAATTTATTATATCTTTAATTAAATTTAAATATTAATTTTAGTAAAATTTATTTAATATAATTTTTTTGTTAAAATTTTTTAATTTTAATTACAGTAATTTTTTTTATTATTTTTAATCTTATCATAATTAATCTTACCATCTATCCAAATAAAATTTAACATAACTTTAGTCGTCAATTGCACCACAACTTGTTTATTTATTTTTTTTATTCTTAAAATCTTATCACAATAAATTTTATCGTCCATACAAATGAAGCTTAACATAATCTTAATGGCTAACCACACCACAACTTTTTTATTTTTTTCTTTTTATTCTTAGAATTTTAATGTTAACCCAAACATACCATAACTCTTACTTTTTCTTATTTTTTAATTCATTTTATTTTTATTATTTAATAAATTAATAAAAATTTTATTATTATAATATAGTAAACTAATAAATAAATAAACTTTATTTTAATTTTTTATTGTCAATTTTTAATAATTTATTCATAAAATTATTATTTAAGGTAATTTAATAATTATTTATTATGTACAATTTTTATTCTCATATCTTTAATAGTTATTTTTTATTTTTATTACAATTTATTTTACTATCATTGTTATTATTTTATTTAAATACATATTCTATCATTAATTTTGATTTTATTATTATATAATTAATGTCACTTTCTTCGATATTTTTAATCTCATTAACATAAAAATAAAAAATAACTCTAAAAAGAAGACCCGGTCATCTCCAAAACCTTGACGATGCTGTCCAATGCTCTCTCTGTTTCCCAATTTATAGTTTCCAGCCCAAAAAAACCGCTGAAAATTTCTGCCGCCAGAGGTTGGTAGTATCCACCTACAGTTTCCTGACTGGAAAAAGTGTCATCGTACATCAATTGTGGACGGGTCTTGTGAGATTTTTATTGCAGCTTTTACGTCAGGCACACATTCGGACAGGCGCCACATAAGTGTACGAATAATGTAATAGAACAAATTCTCTACTGTTTGATAGCCTTTTCTCACCAAAATAGGCTACAGTTTCAGTTTAGTTTAGTTTAGTGTACTCCACAACAGGTCAAAATTACGTTGTCCAGTCAGTAACTTTTTGAATTATCCAATTATTCGTGCCTTTTCCCCCTTATGGCCGGCCCAGGCACTTTCTCTGACGAACCGTTGACTCCCTCCGGCCGCCTTTTTCTTCAGCCACAAACAAACGTCGTCATCCACTGTATCGTCCGTGGCAAAAACCCCTTTGACATAGATTCCGTTAAATCGGCCGTTAAGTCTTCCTTGATGGTTCAGCACCCCAGATTCTGCAGCCTGCTTGTTCGTGACAAAAATGGGTTTGAGCACTGGAGAAGAACCCAGCTGGATATTGACCAACATGTCATCGTCATCAATAACCGGCTCGATAAATCAGGCAATTTCCTGGACGAAAGCCAAGGTTTTAGCAGAGTAGAAGAAGAAGAAGATGATGATGAAGCAGCAGTGAATCAATACGTCGCTGATTTATCAGTGAGCAGTCCTTTAAGTACGGACAAACCTTTGTGGGAATTACATATCCTGATGGCGCACAAGTGCACTGTGTTTAGGATTCATCATGCTTTGGGGGATGGAATCTCTTTGTTGTCCATGTTGATGGCCAGCTGCAGGAGGGCAGATGATGCAGATGCGCTTCCCAGGTTGGCTCCCGAGAAGACTCCGGAATTTAAGGGCGGGAAAGGAAGGGATTGGTTTTGGTTGTTTATTGTCATCTGGGGGTTTTTGAAGATGGTTTGGTTCACTCTGATGTTTGTCACGGAGTTTGGGATCAGGAGTTTGTTTGTTTCTGACAGGAAAACGGTGATTATTGGTGGTGACGGGGTGGAGCTCTGGCCTAGGAAACTGGCTACTGCCAGGTTCTTGCTCGAGGACATGAAGGCGGTGAAAAAGGCTATTCCCAAAACTGTAAGTAACAAAATATCACTGTTCCATAACTCTTTTTTCTTTTAGTACCCCAAAACCCTGGTTTTTAGGCCTCCACAGATTCCTATTTTGTACAGTGTTTACGATTTATATTTAGGGAGGAAAGTTAACCCTAAATCCTGGGCCTAATTTGAAAGTCAATTACTGCCGATTTGTCGAAAACTTAGATTTATTGGATATTTTATCTTTCTGATTTTTTGCAAATATGCAGACCATTAATGATGTCCTCTTTGGGGTGGTGTCATCTGGTCTATCAAGATACTTAGATCACCGAACACCAAATGGTAAAGTTTGTTTACAAAAAACAATGACTTACTCTGCCCTACACTTAATCAAACACCTGTAATATCCAGAACTGATTTGCACTTTAATGTTTGTTATTAGCCTTGCAGGAGGGCCTTCGTATGACAGGAGTAGCGATGGTTAATTTGAGAGCACAGCCAGGGTTGCAGGTCAGTTTCTGCTTCCTGATTTCGCACGCCACAGCAATGTTTTTAACAATTTTGGATTTGCCCCTTTTGTATGTTAGAAAGTCATTGGAGTTTTGACATCCTAAATCTTCGTCAGGATTTATCCAAATTAGTGATGGGGAATTCAGAAGCCCGATTGGGTAACAAATTTGGTGTAATTCTCCTCCCTGTTTACTATCATAAAGGTGGTAACAATCCTTTAGAGTATTTGAAGAGAGCAAAGACGATGATTGACAGGAAGAAACACTCTCTGGAGGCTTACTTCTCGTACAGAATCGGGGATCTTGTAATGTCAATGCTAGGACCAAAGGTGGAGCAAAACAAAATGAAAATGAAACCTCAGAAAACAACTAACTTTGAGATTTTTGTCTGCTAATTGCATTCTTTGTGAATAATTTCCCTTTTTTTTGGGTGTTGCAGTATGCTAGTTTGCTTAATTACAGACTCCTTTGCAATACTACCTTCACGATCTCAAACTTGATTGGCCCTTTAGAGGAAATTACAATTGCAGGCAACCCCGTCTCTAGTATTAAGGTCAATACATCCAGCCTACCACAGGTACAACATCCCATCTTGAATTCTTTCTTTCTTTCTTAGCAAAGGATAATGAAAATTGTTTATTTGATAGATGAATTGCATTTAGTTCATGAATACTGAGTGTTATTGTTGTTAATGCAGGCTATCACAATGCACATGTTGAGCTATGCCGGTAGAGCTGAAATGCAAATTCTTGTAGCTAAAGATATCATCCCTGACCCAGAGTTTCTGGCTAAATGCTTTGAAGATGCCTTACTTGAAATGAAGGAGGCAGCAATAGGGACCTATAAAGCATAGAAAAACTTTTATTTAGGTGTACAAGAGAAATTCATGGAGAATTTTCTGTACACATAACATTTATCACATGAAAATCCCAGTGAATTCTTTTTACCTCCTTTCCTGTCAATGTTCCGTTGCTATCATAATCTCCTTACAAGTTACAAATTTGTACCAAGCAAATTCAATGTATCAGAATATTTGACCAGTACCAAAAGGTACGGACAAGGGTGTCTCTATACGTCCATTTTTGTTCAGAACATAACAAAAAAATAACAAGGATAAAAACGGTTGTTTGATTGTGGCTTGTTAGTAATTAATATAATGTTTCTTTTTAAATTCAATGATAATAATATATTAAATGAAAAATAAACGGTTTTCTATATGTCATTCGACTATGTTTTCTTCTTCCAACTGCTTGCTGAAGGTTGGGGATGTTTGTAAGCTTTCAGAGTCAGCTGCTAGTTCTCCATTATTCCAGTTTAATTTGGGGAAAACTCTTAAGAGTTTGGAGGCATATTATCTCGTCAAATCTAGAAATCAGCATTCTGGTCAAAGAAAATTTATGATTGTATCTCACAAATGACAATTCTCTGGTTAACGCAACTAACTCAAACTGTAGTTATTCTGGTCTTTCAAACGCCTACATAAGCCAGATTAGGACACCATACACCTCTATTTCTCTCTCACTTTCTTCCCCACATTATGAGTCTTGCAGAAGGACCACAAGACTACAAGCTGTCACCATACTCAGTAAATAAGATGCAAAAAAAAAAAAAAAATCACCACACTATGAAAACTACCGGTGTATTGCCCTCAGTGACCATGTCTTCACTCCTTTTCAGGGAATTTTCACCTCTTCACCCTTTCCCAGTCACTAGTTGGTCTTTTGAAAAGGAGATTTTTTACTGTAACCTTTTTTCCTTCTCAACAGCAGCCTCCTTAGCAAACCAACTCCTTGCTTCTTGCTTGGCACCATAGCCAAAGCCATAACTCCAGTGTTAGTACCTTCATGCTTGGAACCAAGATGTGATTGTGAAATACATACTGGCACATCTGAAGCTTGCAAGTTCTTGCAATTATTGGAGTGAGGAAGGGATAAATTCTCTGCTTCTTCAATGCTTAAAGTTCCTTGAACATTGGGAGACTTGAAAACCTCTGCATTAACACCATCTTCAGCTATCATTCGATCACGCAAGGAGAAGTGTTTATTCATCTTTTTGTTATTCATTATAGTAGTGGCAGCACCACTTCTGGAGAAAACCTTGTCAAAGATTGCTGCATCTTGTGGTGAGGCCAACATCTTTAATTGCTTACCTAGGTTCAGAATTGTTTCCTGGCACTCCGCCAACTTCACTGAAGCTGCAGTAATTTCCCAACCCTGTATGTTGGAAAGGCAGAATATATCGGTGTTTGATATATGTTTTCTATTTTCAATTGAATTTGTTGGCTCATGTGTTTACAGAAGGCTGAACTCAACATAAAACAAAACCATTACTGGAAATTAAAAGATTGGCATTTGACATGATCGCACTGCAAATGTATCAGATAATATTACAATGACCTATCAACCGTAAAAGCTACATATCAGAACAATACCAAATATCAAATCAAGTACATAGATTCTATGACTTTCATATTAAATAGATCCTACAAAACTACTTTGTTCAATTCATTAAGCATGATGTTACCATTCTGAGCCAATTATAATCAAGTTTTAATAATTCGGGCATGTAGAAATCTGTCTTTTCTAAACAGAGGAAAATAGGTAAAATTGTGAACGACTTACATTTTGAGATTGCTTCCCCTCCCGATTCATGGCATACTTCGGTATTTCTTTCTTTGCCACACTGTGAGTTTTTAAGTTTCAGAAAGATCAGAACTATATTGACAAGTACCTTTATTATTCACAGGAAGTAAAACCAAGAAACAAAATTTTACCTCTCTAACTGGAGTTGAAGCTCAAGACATGTACCTTCTAGCTCTTCACAACAGTTATTTTTGTACTCCAACTCAACTTCCAAGGAAGAGCACTTCTGGAACATTCCATTCAGTTTAGCTTTGGCAACTGTGAGCTGGGTATCAAGATCTTCATTAATTGATTTCTGATTTTCGAGCTGATCCTCAATCAATTTCTTTGACTCTTTTAAAATATTAAGTTCTGTTTGTAAGCTTCCAATGCTTTCTTCTGATTCATGAAGTTGTACTGTCAAGGCCTCACTCTTGCAAGTTGCTGACTCAAGCCTGGCTTCCATATTCATCAAATCGTCTTTTAATCTCTTGTTTTCTTCTTCCAGGCTACACCAAATACCCTCCTTTCGGGAAAGAACACTCTGATTCTGGTCATTCGAAGAAGCTAAGGAGTCTAAGCATGATGATTGCTCTTCAGAAATATGGATCACATCCGATTCCACTACTAAACATTGCCCTCCAGAACCAACTTCTTTTTCACTTTGTGATTCATTCCAACCAAAATGTCTTTTGATCTTATCCCTTGCACTTGAAGCTTCCTTAGGAGTAACACAGTTGTTCACAATCCAGTCCAAAGCAAATGAGAGTTCCCCAACAAAATTTTCAAGATCAGCCCTTTTATTCAACAGATCATTGCAAGTACAAAGAAATTGTTGTAGAACAGTGCTTAATTCAGAACTTTTCCACTGAAAAACACAGATAAAATAGTCTGCATGAGCTGGTGATTGTTTGGGAGTTTGATCTCTTGCTAGACAACTGCCAGAGGTGTTGTAAGATGTTAGGCCAATTCCTTCAATGAGCTCAATGATTTTACGGATTGACTTGCTCAGATTAGATTGAAACTGTTGCTTCTTTGTTTTTTCCGCTGAGCTTTCAACACTAGAAGCTCCACTGAGTGAACCTACAGTAGGAGATGTTTTTGGAGATTGCCAGGCTATGTAGCCGCTGATATGGAGAGGATCAGATTCTATGGGTTGCATTGAACATGCTGTTTTATTAACATCAGGGGCACTTAAAAGATTGCTACAACCCAAAGCTATTTTGATGTCCTCGAGAATTTCATCTAAACTTCTGTTGGAGATACGTTTGTGCTCAGAGATAGCATGCAAAACAACCTGAAGCCAATCAAATGATGTTTCAGCCGCTACATCTCTTGAGTTTATCTGTTTTGTGTTGCTGAAGCCACGGTGACCCTCCCCAAACGGAACCAATTCCTCACTATTAGACACTGGATTATATCCACCTTCAGACACTAAGGCTAGTTTTTCCATCTCTATAAAATCGTCCATTAATCTCATTTCTGGAACTGTAATGGCCTTGTGTTGCATTGGATTCCTACGTCTTCTGTCTTCAGACTGTACAGATTCTGAAATCAAAGCATTAGACGATGAACAAGAAGCGCTATTTCCATCAATACTGCCAATATCAAAAGCTGATGTTAGAGATAGGTCACTCGATATTGAACTACTCTTTACCAGCTCCATCGAGTTCTGTCCTTTGAACAGCACTTTAGGCTGAATCTCAACCCGTCTTGGCGTGGATGATGTTTGAGAACAAAGTAAACTCGAGAACTGGATTTGAGCATTCTTCTTGATCATTATTTCTTTGAGAATCCTGTTTTCTTCTTCCACATTGCGTAGTTGCTCTAGCAGGAGATTGATATTCTTGGATGGATTTTCAGCAGTGGAGTCTCGAATAATCAAATCTCTTGTGGGATTCAGCTTTCTTCTTCTCATCTCTCTCTTGTCCCTTCCCAGCATTTCAACTTCATTCTTCATTTTCACCACGGCAGCAGGACCTGGCAGCCTCTTTTGCAGAAGGAGACGTAACTTCTGGCATTCAACTTCCAACTTGGTGATTTTCTTTATGCTGTCCAAGTGTTGCTTATGTGCTAAATCAGCAGATCGACGGTTGTAGTCCATCTCTTCATTTCGGATCTCAAGCTCCTTCTCTAGCACATGAAACTCATATTTCAAAAATGCATTCTCTTTTTCAGTGAAATCGAATCTATCCATTAGTGCACCCAATTCTGCTTCTACCTGAGACTTGTGCTTCTGCTGATCTTCAATCAATTTTTCTTTGACTAGCAGGGCCTTACTCAGACGAGAATTCTCAGTGGCCAACTCCTCAAGCTTTCTGTATGTCTCTGCCAGCTTGTCTTGTAATGCTTTCTGTGCTTTCTCAAACTCGCTTGATGTCTTCACGACAGCATCACGTATCCTCGTCTCCTGCTCTTGTCGAACAAAATTTAGCTGTTGCATACATTCCTTCAATGCAGCATCTGAGTGAGTTAACTTTTCATTTGCCAATTTTCCCTGCCTCAAAGCTTCATCTAGCTCTTTCTTGAGAAATATTGCATCTGCTTCTGACTTTTCCCAACCTAAAAGAAAACTTCTATTTATTAGATCATAGTCAAATCAAACTGCACACTTCAAACAAACTAAGTTGGTCTTCCAATGATACTGTGACCTTTACGGAAAGCCTTTAGAACAGAGGAAAAGAGAAGGGGCAAGGATAAAGATAAATCACCTGCATTGGCTTCTGGTGCCATTTTCACATTTTTTGTCACCAGATCATCCTTCTCATGACAATCAAGGAGGACTGAAGCAAGCTTCTCGTTTAGATTTTTCACTATTCTATCTCGTCCCCCCTGCACCGGAGGCATTTGTACCTAGTGTAGAAAAATATTGATCCTTGACCTTGAGTCATTTTCTTAGATCATATACAATGATCTTGAAAATAAACATCTCTATACAAGAACAATACGTGCAAGGAAACAAAGTAAGGGCTTTTACCTCTTCATCAATTCGTTTCAAAGAAATGTCAAACTTGTCAGTAGCAACAATTGTCTTCTCGGAAGATTTTTTCCTCCAAAGCCATGTTTTGTGGTCCATGTGACCTTAATTTCTATTCCATAAGAAGAGAAGAAAAGCATAATTATAATGCTATCAATGTAAAGCAGTTATACAATAAGCCATTGAAAGAATCCAAGCAGTTATAAAAACTGCAGAAAATAGAGCTAACTACTGAAAGAAACAGTCTTTGTCATCTAGACTTTAGTTGCAGCCAAAGAAACAGTCTTTCTCTAATAAGATAAGGCGAGTGTGATTTCCTCAAACATGCACATGATAACGAAAAATTCAGAATCTTGTGTACCTGGAAATGATAATAATGGCCGGAACAAACACTAGGGAGGATTTGACAAAATTCAAGCATTCCCAGATATAAATTTCATACAGTATTTCACAGACACAACACAGGCAGTTGGGTAAATTCAAAACAAATCAACAAATTCAACAGCATTAAAAAGGGAATTGTCTGCATCTCTAACAGATGCCTTCAACTATGGACCAGGGAGTACCAACTCAACATAACACCATAAATAGTAGATCATGAAGTTCACAGGCAGAATATGGACAGGAGACAACCTAATGCCAGAAGGACCAACATTCATTGTCAACTAAGAAGTGCTTTTATTGCTATTAAAAGAAGAATTGATTAAACTTTGGTCTTAAAAAGCATCAAGTATACTTTCCAAATACTTCATAATGACTTGTAATTGGTGCCATAACATGCATCTTAAGAAGGAAAATTACTTAATTGACTGCTTAAAAGAAAATTTATCAGAATTCCATGTATACAATCTAACTTATTATGAAAGCGACTCTGGTTTATTATCATATGACACATCAATGTCATGCATAATCATAAACAAATCCAACTTGAAGCAAAAAATGCAAGCTTTCAAAAGGACAAAAAAACCCTATAAAAATAATTAAGGAACGGAAGAGAAGTTGAATTGTTTAATATCTCTCACCTACGCTTATGCAGAGAATAAAGTTGTTTAACAACAGCTATAGCTTAATACTCGACCACCATTTACGGCACAAAAATTGCGGAGAAGATCATTAAGATAAAGTAACTGACATTGAAGTGAAAGAGAAATTATTGTAGCTTAAATTGCAAACCACAAAAACCCTGAAATCAGAAGGCCAAGAGAGATGTTGGGTACTGAAAGTACAGTTCTCTGTGTTTTTAACATAGGATGCTACCATCCACCGACAACCTATCAAGTAATAAATGTTAATGGCAACAGTAATGGAGGAAAAGAAGAAAAATAAAGGATGAAATATGGGAAAGAGAGGCATAAAAAGATGAGCAGTAATAAAGGGATAAAGTTAAAGGGGGTTGAAAATGTTTGCATGATCAAATCAATGGAGAGGTCCAATCCAACTAAATGGAGTCGTTTTCATGCGGTGGGATCTTCGAATTTGAAGACAGGAAAAAGATGGTGTTACGCGCTAGGAGGGTTTTGTATGTGACGACCTAGTGGGAAAGGAAAGTTTGCTTTGAGATGGGTGGTCCCACGCGCTTGGATGGAGATTGGATGGAAGTGTCATAATAAAAGTTGGGAAGTAATGATGTGTGTTGGTAAGATTTTTTTTTTTCTAATTTTACTTTTTGAAAGTATAATTCTGTCTTTTTTTTTTAATCTTTTTTTTAAATTTTATTATCTATATTTTTTTGCACTTTTAAAATTAGATGGTAGGAATTAATTCATGTAATAAATTTTAATGTTTATTTTTTATACTTAAATTATAACTTTTCTTGCAACAAAAAAAATTAAGAATCGTAAACACCTTATTTAATCTTGAGATATTGTCGAATCTCAAGTCGGGCTTTAGGTTTAGTCTATTTGGTTTTAGATTTAAGTTTTGGATTGGCCTTGGACTTCCCAAAATAAGCCCGAGATAGATCATTGAATTTGAATTGAAATTAAAAGATAAACTGGTTGAGTTTAAAACTGAAATTAAAAGGATAAAGAATGAAAATCTCATTCAAGATTCAATCGGATAACATTTTGATCTCATATCCTATGGAGGTTGAGTCCTTATCTAAGCAAGGACAATTACACTGCAAAAGGGAGGGCAACAATCACCATTCACTGGGAAACAATCACTACCCCAGTTGTTCAGCTCGCCTTCAACCATTGCCCAATCCATCCCAGGGCGTATCCAATCAACTTTTTCACCATTAATTCCCCACTGTTGTCCGTACCTCTAACAATCACCCAAAGGCTCAACAACAATTCTACTGCAAGAACCTGCGCCCAATTGAAACCATTATTTCCTAAAACATACTTCTCCCAATGATCAACATAGATACCATACACAGTAAAAAAAAACCCACAAACCTGCAAACAGAATCAATAACTACCCACAATTCACCATTAGCACAGAAACCCTAACAACAACATGCCGAGCCACACCGACAGCCCCAAATTCAATTTCAACCAACAATCAGGAAATTCACAACCCCAACATCACACGGCTCAGCCAACCACAGTCCCAAATTCAGTGCCAATCGACAATGAGGAAATTTACAGGCCAACAGTAATAGTCCCACAACCCAGCCGGCCGTAACTCCGACCCAGAAAACCCAAAAACTCAGCTCTATCACCTACTTGTTGCCAAAAGGCTATTCACTACCACTAAAGAACACTTACAAAGCAAAAAAAAAAAAAACAACATAGCAAAGCCCGAAACGAAAGAACAAATTTTTGGGTCTTTATTCAAAAGATTTAGGGTTTTCAAATTCAAGGTGATCCAAGAAAAGGACAATAACACACCTTGAAGAATCGACATTAGGAGTGGAGGAACCGAGATGAGAATCACGACTTTCGGGCATAGATCCACAGCTATCTAGATAGTTTTAGAAAGAGTCAATTGGAGTACGAGAAGTAAGAGATTGAGATGAGTTCGTGATTAAATTTCAAAGAAGTTTCAGCTTCGCTGAACGGCAGCGCATGGCGGAGACGATGGCAGAGTAATGTTGGTTTTTAGAGTAGGCTTGAAGCCTAGCCGGTGTTCTTAAGTTTATTCTGGTTTCTGGAAAACCTTAAGGGGAGAGAGAGAGAGAGAGAGAGAGTAATCGAGGCAGACAAAGAGAAACCAAACCGAAAAGCGAAAGAAAAAATTGAACAAGGGCTTGTATAGTTTAAAAAATACGACCTCGTTTGGGAAAAAAGAGAATCGAATTCTTTAAGAGATCCATGCTCTAGCCCATTTAAAGATTCAACCCACAAGTGACCCTCTTCACAAACCTGAGTCTGAGTCGAAGCTAAGCCGCTGAGCCTCTAAGCCCATCTTGAGCCTGTAGTCGCATCTCCTAAGCTGCTTAGCCGGGTTGATCAGCTTTTGAGCTATTACTGAGAGTAGAGCCAAGCTGTTTTTTTTTAGCTAAGCCTCAAACTTTGGTATTTACTTATTTACTTTTCTTTTTTTTGCTTCAGTACCTATTTTCTTTTTCTTGAATAATCTTAAATTCTAAAAATAACAATAAAAATAAAAATAATTTCAAAATTTCAAAAAAGCTAAAAGATCAATTTTTCTTAAAATAAAATTTAAAAAAAATACTTTAAAAAAAAGTTAAAAGTATTAATTTTTTTTAAGATCAAATTTCAAAAGATACTTTAAGAAAAAATTGAAAATATTAATTTTTCTTGAAAATCAAATTTCAAAAAAATAGTTTAAAAAAAATTGAAAGTATAATTTTTTCGTGAATATCAAATTTTAAGAAAAAATACTTTAAGAAAAATTTAAAAATATCAATTTTCTTTGAAAATAAAATTTTAAAGAAGATATTTTTGAGAAAAAGTTAAAAGTACCAATTTTTCTTGAAAATTAAAATTTCGAAATTGTGTTTTTGAGAAAAAGTTAAATGTATCAATTTTTCTTGAGAATAAAAATTTTGAAAAATGCTTTTAGAAAAAAGTTAAAAGTATCAATTTTTCTTGAATCAATAAATAAATTTTTTTTTAAAAAAAAGAAAAGTGATCTTTATAAAAAGTTGAAGTGTTATTTTTTCTTTTTTTTCTTTTTCTTTCTTGAAATTATTTTCTAATATTAAATAATTTGACGATAGAGCCTCTATAAGAGAAACAATAGTTTTTTTACAAACTCTTGAGGTGAAAAAATTTTCTTGATTTTTTGCTAAAAGTATTGGAGTCAATTAAGAATAATTTTTAATAACTAATTACTTGGTAAATTTTTTTAGGGCTTAATGGATAACACGAAATCGAGCTGGTATCATCTTTCGATGGGCATTGTAGGGGTGTTATAACCTTCCTCACACATAATCGTATCCTGGATCTAGTTCTAGTTTTGCAGACATTGAATCTATCTTTTAAAGATATCTAAGTCAAACTTAAGATTTCTTTTTAAAATGGAACAAATTCAGTTAAGTGACCACTCGTACATAAACAAAAAAGATTAGTGACGATTTCTCAAGTTAATGTCTAGCGATAGATCCACGGATCTAGACATTATAACAGTTTGGTGACTCCATTGGGGACAAGCCGAGAGTAAGGCCAGCAAATAAATTCGTGTTATCCAAAAAGCCTAATAAAATTGAATTCTTTGTAAGGATTTTTTTTCTTTCTTTTCCATTCATTTTATTTATTTATGTTGCTAACTATGTCATTCATATGCATATGCATAACATGAGCTCTATATTTGAGCTTTGTCCCTCTAGGAAAGAGTAAAGTACTTATACTTTCGTGAGATTTTAATGCCTCTGCAGTAGTTAAAGAGCGAAATACTCTCACTTAAATTAAACTTTTTCTTCTTACAGTCTGTAATGGGCAAGGATTGGGGTGCTTTATTAGTCTATGACGAACAATGGTGTAAGGAGCAATTTGAGAACCTTTAGACTATCAATCTTAAACTAAATATAGTAAGCATAAGGAACCTAACCTGTAGTTAGAGCCTTACCTTCCCTTGTCATAGAAAAATCCAACATCTAAGTTACATTTTTATAATGATTGATTTTTTTTAGTGAAAATTAACTGTTGTTGTCATGTTGTATGAATTGTCATGATAAGATACATGTTGGTTGATTTTTTTTTTCTTTCATTTAAAGTAAGATAACATTAGGCTGCATATATTTTTGGCATTCATTTTGCATATATTAGCTTGAAATCATATAGTCCTTATTTCATGACATAAGTATGTAGTAATGCAAGCATCTTAATTTGTGGTAATCAAAGGTTCAAGGATTGCGAGACCATCGATAAATTCAAGCCAACCTGCATGTCACCCGTATAATACTCGATCACAAGCAAGGTAAATGGAATATGAACAAAGTGCTCGTATGGACAAGATCAAAAAAGCTTAATAAGAGATAAAATGAGAGTTAACAAAGATGATGGAGATGCTAAAAAAATTACATAAAACTAAAACAGTAAAAGAAACCCCAAATTCAAATGAAAAATAGGATATTGTGGATCCTCTACACATTTCAAGGTTTGGCTCAAATCAAGGCCAATCTCCTCAAAATACACAAGCCCCATTAATGCCATTTTCTGAAGCATATCTTAAAGTGTTGTTTCATAGCTACACTAATCCTACTTTTACGACAAAGACGTACAATCCAATTGAGGTTCCTGATTTTAATGATCTTAAAGAGAAAGAGGGATTGAAGATAAAGATTTTTAAAGTGATGTAAGATCCGAGCATGCAATAAATGAACCTTTTAGAAGAGAGAGTGCAAGCTATTGAATGAATGGATTATTTTGGCTTTGTAAATGCAGTTGAACTATGCTTAGTTTTAGATGTGGTTATCCCACCAAAATTTAAAGTCTCTAAATTTGAAAAATATGATGGGATAAAATGCTCGGTAATTTATGTTACCATGTATTATTGCAAAATGGCTGCCCATGCTCATGATGAGAAACTACTAATGCATATGTTTCAATATAGTCTCACTGGCTTAGTTGCGATGTGGTATGTTCAGTTAGACCAAACCCATATCTAGTTCTGGAACACTTTGGCAAAGGCATTCATCGCCCAATACCGACACATTATAGATTTAGCTCAAGATCTTCTATCTCTATAAAGTATAAAAAAAATATTTTGAAAGCTTTAAAGAGTCTGCAAAGAGGTGAAAAAATGTTGCTACTCCAGTTTAACCACTTTTTATTGAAAAAAAAATGATTATTTTATTTGTGAGTACTTTGAAACTTTCGTATTATGAGAAAATGATTGAAAATACCATAAAAAATTTTATCGATATAGTGGTCTCTGAAGAAATGATAAAGAATGTCATTAAAAGTGGCGAGCTTTAAGAAGGAGAGACCTTTAGTACAAAGAAGGGTAGGATGCCTAAAAAAAAAGAAAGTGAAGCTTAAGCTGTGAGTTTTGAAGAATAGCAGTTCAAAAGTTATGCCCCACACCCATAACCAATATATCCTACTTATTATCCAGTCATTAATCATGTTACACTTTTCTCTTACCATCATATTTCACATCCAGTCTTTTGACCAACTTTTCAAACACCCGTGTCTAGGCCCAGTCCT